CAGCTGAAGCTGGTGCACAGCTTTGACACTGCCCCCATAGACGTAGGCAGACAGTTTCATTCATTGGGCAGGACATGGACATGCCCCCAAAAACAAAAACGTTGCTGATGCGGACTGAGGGGCATTATCTCCAAAGCCAAAGATCGACAAAGACAGAGACCAAAAACGGAAAGTGAATGCGGCGTGGCACACGCGTCGTCAGCTGACTAGCTGAATAGCTGGGAAGCTGGTTAGTTAGTTAAGGTTGGGTCTTAGTCTGCAGCAGCATCATCATCATCATCATCATCATCATCGATTGTATCAATTCAATTGGACGCAGCAGGTGATTAAAAATTGGTTAGAGCTACAAAATTATCAATGTGAGATCGTTGATTGGCTCGTGGTTGTTGTCAATGTTGTTGCTGTTGTTGTTGTTGTTGTTATTGCTTTCAATACCTTTGGGAACGCTGAAATGCCCCAACGAGGAATCATTTGATTTGATTTGTGCGCGATTGGTTTTTAATTTGTAAAGTGGAGCCTAATTAGATCGTCGATGAGTTTCACTTTTCGTCAGGAGAAAGAGAGGGAGAGAGAGAGAGAGAGAGAGGGAGAGAGGGAAGCCCTGACATAGACGTGGGCGCGTCTCTGAAGGTTCCATCCACACTTAATGCAAACTCATTTTGTTGTCTGTCGCTTTGTAGGTCACCTCTTGGCTGGGCAATGACGGTGCTGAAACCTTGCAAAGATTCGCACAGCTGCAGCTGGAGACCGAGGCGCAGCTGAAGGCCCAAGAGCTGGAATTTGAGAAATACTATTTCATAGCCAGGGTAAGTCGAAGTGAAGCTCTCCATGATTGGCTCTAATCTGTGTGCTCTGCAGAAACACTTGGCCAAGGGTCGCGATCTGCACTTGGCAGCCAATAAGATTGCCGTGCTCACCGAGAGCGCACAGAATCTGAAGACGGCGCTGGACCAATTCGCCGAGAAGCTGGAGAAGACGCGAGAGCGCATCGAGGGCGGTGCACGACTGCTGCATCTGCTGACGCAGCATCAGCGCGAGACGAGTTGTCTGGAGGAGCTGCAGCGCCTCGCCGCGCAGCTGAATGCCACAGCGCTGCTGGACAAGCACCTGCCCGCTGTGCGCCGGAGCAGCACACTGCCAGCAGCCAGCAGCACGCCGGCCCAGGCTCAGGGCAGCAAGCGGGGCAGCTATCGCTGCAGCTCCGGCAATGGCAGCTCCTTTGAGGGCGCCACCGGCGGCAGCCAGTGCAGCTGCTGGCGCGAAAGTCGCAATCTGGAGGACATGGACGAGCCAGAGGAGGAGCCGGATCGCGAGTGCCTGGGCGATGCCGACGGCGAGGAGCAACAGTCCAAGATAGCCGACTCCGGCGTCGGAGTCTGCGACAATTGCGAACGCAATCCGAAGCTGGCGAGGATTTGCAGCTGCCAGAGCCTAAACGAGAAGAGGTGAGTTGAAGCTACTGAAGCAGGCGAGATTAAAACTGACGCCGGCATTCCCTTCCCAGTCACGACGAGCTGCTCGAGGATGAGTGCTTCGATCGGCCGACCAAGCGCTACATGGACATGCACTCGCCCATGGAGGCGAATGCTCATCTGCAGTGCCATGCCTCCAATCTGGAGCTGACCACACTGGAGGAGCTCAGCTGTTTGGAACCAAAAATACAAAAGTAAGTAAATTGCTTTGTCTTCATGCAGGGGGAAGGTATGCAAGAACCTACTATAGGGTCTCCGCAAAACCCTGGGAATCTATTTTGGATCTTCGGGAAGTTTTCTCCATCTTATTCCCCTACCTAGCTGGAAGGTTTAAGGATCTCCTAAGCTTTTCTTTTATTCTCCCCTTTCTCATCTCTCCCCCTTTCGCATATCCCCACAGAACGCTTCTATTGATCATGCGCGAAATGATTGGTACCGAACGCGACTACGTGCGCTCCTTGTACTACGTAATCGAGAACTATATCGATGAGCTGCTTCGCGAGGATATTCCACAGCCACTGCGAGGCCAGCGGAACGTGATCTTTGGCAACATTGAGAAGATCTTCGAGTTCCACAACTCGCACTTCCTTGGCGAACTGGAGCGCTACGAGCGCAATCCGCTCAAGGTGGGCGCCGCCTTCCTGGAAATGGAGTCCAAGTTCTATTTGTACGCGCTGTACAACAAGAACAAGCCCAAGAGCGATACGCTGCTCAGTGAATATGGCAGCTCATTCTTCAAGCCGAAGCAGATGCAGCTGCAGGATAAGATGGACCTGGCCTCCTACTTGCTGAAGCCTGTCCAGCGCATGGGCAAGTATGCGCTGCTGCTGCAGCAGCTGGTCAAGGCGGTCAAGGGCGTGGAGGGCGCCGCGCTGCAAGAGATTGCCGCCGATGTGGAGGAGCTGCAGCGTGCCGAGGAGATGGTCAAGTTCCAGCTGCGACACGGCAACGATCTGCTGGCCATGGACTCGCTGAGGGACTGCGACGTCAATGTGAAGGAGCAGGGACGATTGCTGCGACAGAACGAGTTCCTCGTCTGGCAGGGACGCGGCGGCAAGAAGACGCTGCGACAGGTGTTTCTCTTCGAGGAGCTGGTGCTGTTCAGCAAGGCACGACGTTTTCCCGACCACAAGGTTAGTTCGATCAGCAATACTGTAGACCAGGCCTCAACTTAAACTCACCTCCTCCTCCTCCTCCTCCTCCTTTGCAGAACTTGGACATTTACATATACAAGAACAGCATCAAGACCTCAGATATCGGTTTGACTGCGCATACGGGTGACTCGACGACCAAGTTTGAGATCTGGTTTAGGAAGCGCAAGCCGGATGACACCTGGGTGCTGCAGTGCATGTCGGAGGACATTAAGAATGCCTGGACCGAGGAGATATCGAAGCTGCTCTGGAAGCAGGCGAAACGAAATCGAGGTGAGTGCATCAGGCCGAACTGATTTCTTGATATCTAATCAATATCATTGCAGACATTCGCCTGGCAGAGATGTCTTCCATGGGCATTGGCAGCAAACCCTGCCTGGACATACGCCCGAGCAACAATCAGATCAGCGACCGTTCCATACCGCTCACGCAGCTGAACAAGAGTAAGTCCGAGGCTAAGCCGGAAAAGCAGCTCCTAACCCGAATCCTTATAGCGCCCAAGCTGCGTCATACGGAGCCTGGCAAGGGCAGCATGCGTCGTCCCAACTCGTTAATCTCGGAGAGCTCGCTCTCCAGCGGCACCAGCACCACGAGCAGCAGCTCCATCAGCGGCGGCTGCTCCTCCGGCCATGCCGCGCATGAGACGGGAAGACACAGCCTCAATCTGAGCTTCAGCAAGCATTGCTCGAGCAATAGCAACAACAACAGCAGTCCGGCCACCTTGGAGCTGATCAATGAGACGCAGGCGCTGAAGCTGAGCAGCAGCAGCGAGCAGCAGGATAGCTCAGCAGTGGCCAGAGGCCAGGCCACGCCCACGCTCACGAGCAGCGGCTCGAGCCGCAGCAGCAAGCGACACCACAAACGATCGACGACAATCGTCAGCCAGCTGTCCATGGGTATAGAGCTTGAATTGTGCTACTTCTTCTAGATGTCAATGGTTCCTTTTAGTTGCCTTGTTGTTGTTTGTTTAATGTTTCCGAAACCCTATGTATATAAAAACTCACACACCAACACACACCACTCCCCAGTATTACTCAACTGTATATATGTATATAGACCCCACCTCACACACACCTCCCGCTCACCTAACAACTAGTTGTGCTGCATGCTCTATGTATATTGCTGGATAAAAAGAGAGAGAGAGAGAGAGAAATGATATACCTGCATAACCCACACTCTTCCTATACTCTATATATCTAGAGAGCGGCATACTGTCCGATATGTCCATAACGCCGGATCAGGAGCATGCCCACTTGGCCGCCGAGCAGCTGTCGGGCAACCGAGGCAGCTGGTCCACCAGCCTGGCCAGCGCCAGTTCCAGCACGAGCACGAGCACCTCGACCGTTATACTGCGTCGCTACAAGTCGTACGCCCACGCAGCTGAGTCAGCGAGTCCGCCCGAGAGCAACAAGTGAAGCCTTCCTCTAAACCGATGGATGCCCGAGAGAGCGATAGAGCGAGGGGGAGAGGCAGAAGCACAGAGAGTATACATAGCTTTAGCGAAACGGTTTCATCAGATTCAAATTATCATATACGAACATACATACAAACATACATACATACATATATATGCATGCATACTTATTATAATTTTTGTTATTTATTATTTATTTGATTTTAGTTGCGTTAAAATTTTTTGTCATCAATTTTCATCCTATTGTATTATTATAATTTGCCCTGGATGCAGTTTTCCTCTTTGTTTTTTTGTTTTTTCTTTTCTAATCTTCATATAGAAAATTTGAAATTATTGAATTCAATGTGTCAATGTCGAAATATATTTCATAACTCTTAATCAAACTAAACCCACACACACACACACACACATACACAAAACGAGAGGCATACCACAAAGTGCCAGCCGAAAAGGAAAACGAAAAAAAAAATAGAAGAAAAGAAAAATATATCGAAAACGAAATTCATAACGTACAGTTAGTTAATATATGTAAATTAAGTGCCTATCTTTAATTTATCGTAAAAGGAAAACAAAATATACATAAATAATTGCATATCTTTTAATATATGAATAATGTATACACATCTAAGCAAAGAATTGAATAAATGTTGCTTCGAAATATACAAAAAAAAAAGTTTTAAGGCATGTGCTCATTAATCTTATTAGAATGCGTTCAATTAAAAATTCTAAATTTTAAAATATCTGCTATGCATGTTGCGCTGTAATTCCCAACTGCTTATTCTGGCCAACACTGGTTTATATACGAGCTGAATGGCAGAATTTTAGACCGAAATGAAGAAAACTTTACCTCCCGAACCATCGTGTGGGCCTTTGTCATTTTTGTCAAAGGGACGTAATTCTGATTTGTTTAAACTTTAAAGTTATTTTTAATATTTTTATTTATTTTTTGTTTTTAAAAGAAAACTCTTTACGTCTACTAGTTAACATGACAGTCTCTGTTACTTAACAGCGGTCTGTGTTAGCCGCCGTGCAGTGTGGATATAAATAAAACATTATCGTTCGCCTGTAGTTCGTACTCCAGCTCACCCTAATTAAAAACAATAAATAAAATGTAAATAATAATTTAAACATCACTTACCAGCAGCTCCCAGTCTGTATCATTGATCAGCACTAATATGCCAGGCCGCCTGAAACAGAAATACAAATAAATATTACAACTGCACGTGTTGCTTCTGCATTCTCTCCTTACACTGTGTCTCCTTGTATGAATAGCTCTGCTCGCTCCGTTAAAATGTTGGCATGCATCCACTTCAGCAAATTGGCAATGGTCCCTGCAATTAATCTTTTAACTCCACCGAAAGAGAAGTAAATTCTAAGCATGCTCACATTTTTGCGTGCCATCCAAACTGATTTCACGTCGTTTGATATTGCCAAATAGCAGCTCTGCCCCAGCACTGAAGACACAAATTTCTTTAGTATTGCTAAATATTTATGGCATTCTATCTTACCTGAACTCTAGTATTATTTTTAAATCCGGTGTGTTATTGTTGCTCATCATTAATCTGTTATTGTTTTGTTCATTTGCCATTCACAGTGAAAAGCAACATTTTGCAGTGCGTTTACAGTCTTGCTGACTCATATTTGCGTTGACTCATAATGCGTTTTCAGTGCTCTTTATTGCGCTGGTCGCATACGTAACGTAAGAGCTGTTAACGTATTTTCAGTTTTGAATTCAAATTACGAAGTTAAAATTAGGCCAATTCGTGGTTGGTAAAACGAATAACATTAAAAATTCACAATTAATTTAGTAATTAAGTAAATTCTTTCAAATCTACAATTAAAAACACATTTTTAATATTATTAATTAATTTAGCTTTAATTTCATTAAATAGTTAAGGACATTGACATTTTGTTGGCATTTGTAAAATAATTATGTGTGTATTTGGGTATTTTATTTAGTTTTGCGCTTTGTGCTCCATTGAAATAGAAGAAAAACATGAAGTTAAAATTAAAAAACAAATTAAACAATTCAATTGCTATTGTGTGTTTAAATATGGTTTCTGTTTTCGTTTAATAACAAATAAAAGATATTTAAAACTGTGTTTTAATAAGTAAGTATTTAACTGAAGAAAAAACCCGCTGTTAGGAAACTTTTGCACGCATTTCTCTTTCTCTCTTCCTCTTTCTCACTACTCTCTTGCAATCTCTGTCTGTCTGTCTGTGTGTGTTTGTGTGTTAAAAGAACTTAAAATAAATAAATAAACATATACAATAGTTACAAGTACATATTTCCATTGTTTGTGTTTTGCTTTACTTTTCTGTTTTTCGGTTTTCGGTTTGTCGCGCGCTCAAATGCAATTACAAATAATAAATAATTATATATTTCATAATTTTTATACAATTCGACAAATAAAGCACAAAAGTAATATCAAATATCAAGTGTTGCTGCTATAGCTCTAAATAGTTTCAACATTTCTCTCATAGCTAAGAATTCAAATTTTACATAAAAGTTTTGCTTTGTTTTAGGATTTTCATTCCCTTTTTTTGTTGTTTTAGCTAATTTTCGATATCTAATATATGTGTAAGTGTAAGGCATTATTTTGTTTGCATATATATATACTGATATATATATATGTGTATATATAGATTAATACATATTCTGATTTTTGATCCATATTTTTCTCGATTTCCTTTTTTTATGGCTAATTATCGCTGGCACTTGGCCCCAGTTTTTGATCCATGTGAATTTCATTTGATTGGAGTGGGAGGGGCAGGGGGCGTTCGAGCTTTACATCAACTTCTGCTTGGCACAGTCGGGGCACAGGATGTCGGGTCCGTCGGTGATGAAGCCGCGTCCCACCAAGCTGGCCTTGCAGCTGGCACAGACGAAGCAATCGTGATGCCAGTGACGATCCTCAAACGAAATGAAGCGAGTGCCGCCAATGCCTAGAGAAAGAGAGACAGGGAGAGGGAGAGTTATTTATCTGCCTTATAGGACTTCCTTGCCGCTGCTCACCTGTTATGGGCTTCACACACGAGGTGCAACGCTTGGCAAACAGCTCGCCAAAGCACTCGGCACAGTAGGGCTTCTCGTCACGGCTAGTGAAGCGCTGCCCGGCCAACGTGATGTTGCAGTGGGTGCAAGTGAAGCACTCGCGATGCCACGGCTCATTCTTATAGGTCACGCCACCCGAAGTGATGACCTGTCAAGCCAATGAGAAGCAGATCAATTAGTAACTCTCTCGTAGTAGCTCTCTCACTCCCCCCTGCTCACCTTGTTGCACTTGATGCAGCGCGTGGCAAACTTCTCCTCGTAGCAGCCGGCGCAATAGATCTCCTGCTCGCGCGGTATAAACGACTTGGTGCCAATGGCCATCTTGCAGACGCAGCAGCAGAAGCAGTTCTCGTGCCACTGCCGGGTCTTGTATTCCATTTTCTTGGTGCCTGAATAGAGAACAGAACAAATCAATTTTCACTCATTGCAGCCTTGAACTTTTCGACAAATCGACAAATAGACCCAAATTCCAACCAGACACATTCAGGCCAAAACCATCACCAGAACAAAACCCAATCAGCATTTAGTTTCAATAATAACTAAAAAAAATAATAAATATATAAATGGAGAACTACCGTTATGTTCAGCTGACATGCAACTGTCGAAGAGCTTCTCTATCCAGCCCCAACTCCCCCAGCCCCCTATAGCTCGCATTTTCATAACAATTAATGCAAAAATTATGCAAATTTTGCGAGACTCGAGAGACAAGAGCGAAATATGAGCCCCAAGATATATATGTATGTATATACCATATACCTTGACTTCATATAGCTTCATTTCAGCTTTGGTTGTGTGCATAAAAAATCTGTTTCGTTTATTTATTGCGTGCTCGAAATTTGTTGCCAAATATAAAGACTGAAGCGAAAACTTGTACCAAAATTTCTGGGTTCACTGACTGCCGCCAATCGAGGCGACAGCGCAGCCTAATTGACTCGAATAATGTCAGGGCAGCAATTCTATTGTTCTGCTTTAATTTTGGGCTATATTGCGGAGGGACAAGAAATGCCTTTTTATATGTTGCCAAATTATAGCAGCACAAAAGTTGCCTAAATCGCATGTCAAATTTATGTCATCAAAGTTAAGTGTCTGAAGACATTTTCACTGCCGTCATATGTGGAAAAGCTGGCGAAGTTAGCGTGGCATGAGGCTTACGTATAGACTGATCTGGGCAGGAACTACATGCTGGCATTTACTTCCCAGATCTGCCTTGAAAATTTCACTTAAACCAAATCTGTTCACGCTCCACATCTGTGCTTCAGCTACTGCTTCATCTTCGTATTTATCTAGCTCTTTCCCTTGTATGGCTGCGATATCACTGTAGTTTATTGTTTACATTCAAATATTTTCACAATTTACGTATTGCCTTTGAGAGCAATTTCGCTTAACAGTTCCGCAATATGCGGATATCAAGAACAAATTTACTTAAGCATTTAGCATTTAGTTGATATAAGTACACTAAATACTTATTTCTGCAAATTAGAAGTTGGAATTCGGTTTACATTTGACAATCAACAATTATCCAATTGGAATTTAACGTCATTTCAAAGCGTGAGTAATACTAATTGCAAATCGTTGATTCACTTGCATAAAAATCTGTAAGTTTTCAAATTGAATAGATTTTTAATAGATTAATTACACAATTGAAAGCTTTTTATGATTTTAAGTTTTATTTACTACGAAATATGAAAAGTTAAATGTAAAATCAGAAATATTTAAATGATTGTATTCTACAAGTGACTTCTTCATTCGTAAAAATATTCGCAGCAAATTCGATAGATCATAAAATTTATATGGCTTAAAAAATTATATATAAATATAGTAAATGAAAATTTTTAAATTGAAGAAGGGACCAATTTTATATAAAAAAAAA